GTATTTCCTCAGCAGCCAGCACGGATCAGCTCCAGGCATGACGAAGCAGATATTGTCCTCTTTTGGAAGGCCAACCAAAGTAGTTTCGCTTTCACAACGAAACACAGCGCCTTCGCGACATGGTGGCGGCAGCAACAACAATACTACAGTGAGAATAAAAGTTACGCCTTCTTTCTTTGCGTGAACATTTGGGCGGCGTTATGCAAAAACTTCCCACATTGTGAGGTAGACATGTGGAAGCGTGTTAGAACGAGCCGTTTTAGGTAGGTGTGGTTGACTCTTAACTTTTATAAAGAATTTCTCTTTGGATTTGAGACTTTAGTCTTTGCAACTTTACAGATCTTCTTTATGCACCAAGAGCTTGTAACACTCCAAAGAGAAAGGAAAAATTGAAATCGCATCATATGACCCCTTTAAAGGATGTTCCAGAAATGTTGTTGTAAGAACATTTTCTCCCAACATGACATAAAAAAAAAAAAAAAACTTCTACAAACAATGTATAAATAGCGTTTTAGTGATAACCTTTAGACAACATTATTAAAGACCAGATAACATTGAACAAACATTCTATTAACATTACTGGAGGAACGTTAGTTCATAACTTTGAGAGAACCTGGCCAGATTATTAGCCAAAGTTATGAGAACGTCCCCTGTAAGCTGGGTTACTATCAGCCTTGATTATTCTAGTCTGTTAATTAACCCTTAAATGCATACCTCGCTTTAGTGACCCGGGACATCATTCTCTACCCTCTCCCTCCATCATTTTTTTAAGTTAGACATCAGCTTTCTTAGTATTCCTCAATCTATTCATTGTAAACAATATAACAAGAAAAAAATAGTAAAATATAAAAGAATGCCAGTTTTCTGATTAATTTTTTGTAAAAAGTGTATAGGGTCGCTAGAGACCCAAGGTATGTAAATGTGTAAGTATTTTTTCCTGCGCAACTATATTTACATATCTGATGACTCAATATGTGCAATGCATCTTTTTTCCCTCAAGGTGGCACTGTTTGATACACAATGATGATGAGATGTTTCATTCATAATTACTGCAGGCATAAAACAAACGAATATTATCAGCAAAAACTGAACTGGTTTGAATGGCTTTACTGCAGAGCAATTACTATACGCAATGAAATATAAATGTCATTGTCATTTGATTCTGGATGTGGTGAATAAGCTGCCAGTGATCAAAATATTGAATATGAAGTCATTAAAAACGATAGTTTTGAGAATATGGCTGAGATCGTGAATGTGAGGCAGATGCTGGGTGTACTGTAGAAGTGCGCTCTGACGATGACAGCGTTGGTAAAATCATCTGCTCAAATTTAACCCTTTTAAGTTTCAAAAGGTAACGAAATATGCTTTATTTTATTCTTCTGTAATTGTTCTTAAAATAGCAAGAGATTTTTTTGCTATTGCAGCAGTTAGAGATCTATCCGTGCTGGATATATTGGTCCGGGTCGCTAAAAGACCCGAATATGTAATAATGATTAGCGAAACTCATGCATTTAAGGGTTAAAAGGCTGCTTATATGCACATCTGCTTATTGTTTATGAGATACAGACATGAGGCTGACAGCTAGCTGAACATATACTTGTTTAATTAGTGACACTTACATTTTAAAAACTTTATTTGAATATGGTGACATTTTTATTTTATTTTATTTTTTAATTTGACAACATGATACCTCATTCGACAATATTTATATGATTAAATCACTGACAGAGACCCATCACTTATCAGCCGATCACTGGGGGCATAGTTAGCAAGCTTGTTTACATCATTCATAGCAATAAGGATACAGCCCCAAATTGTGAATACGGCCCCATATATAAAGGGTTCATAAATGTGTAGCTGGATCTGCAGCAAACTCAGAATGTTTGAAAATATCAGCATGGTAAATTGTCTTTCAGTAGTCAAAAAACATGAATATCAAATGTGATTGCTACCCAGTCAACACGTGATCTCATGCGATGATCACAGTGACATCACACCACTCTCATGCTGTGATACTCACTGTGAATTCTAAATGTTGAGCAGGGCCCGTATTTATCAAGCTTCTCAAAGTGCCATTTTAGTCTTAAGTGCTGAGAATTCATGAAATTTACTTCTACTTTCAAACTTAAGTATAAAAGCAAGCTATCAAATTTCTTAAAGCTAAGAAACAATTTTACTCTCCCATTTATTTAAGACAGCTCGAGAGGTCTCTCAAGCGGTTAAGAGTTGCCAGTAGGGGCTTGTGATGGCACTGAGGAGACAAAGACGTGCACAAATCTTTCAGGAGAGGAAGAATGTTTTTGAAATGTTTGACGATGAGCAGTTAATCAAATCGGTAACGTTTGGACAGAACAGGCATCATCTTTGTCAGCAACTTGGTGAGAGACTTAATATCACCACTAACTTTACACAGCAATGCATTTTCAGCTGAATTATTGAAGGTTGTGATAACGCTTCATTTTCTTGCCATGATGTATTCTCTTGAAAAATCTTTATTGTCAAATGTGTGTTGAATGTAAACTCGTCTTAGGAATTTCACCATTCAATGTGAATTTATATGAGAATATTCTTAAATACGGAAATCTTCAGTGATTGGTCCATGTCAATGTTGTCATTCAAAATCCCATTTGTGGTACAGCAAAGTGTCGTGAATCATATCTACGACTGACACTTAAGATTTAGTACTACACTTCACTTAAATTACAACTGAGACACTTGATAAATAACTTTTAAGCACAGCTTTGAGACAATTTTTGAGCCAAGATTTTTTTTTATTCTTAAGTCAATTCTTAGCATTGTTCTTATGCACACAAATGCTTTGAACAATTGTGGCATTTATACACACCGAGAAATTAAGAATCAGTGTAGGAATCTCAACAATGGTGACAATCAAAAGCTTCATGCTGCAATGCATGCTGGGTACCTAGTCTTTGTGCAGTGAATGCACTGTCTGTGACCTTGCATTGTGACCATATCATGAGTATCCTGGGAGCTCATGGTGAGATCACTGTGAGATCAAATTGATGATATGGTATGGAAACAAAACCAGACCAAACTGCAATTTTTGTGAGACATTTTAAAATAACATAACCTGTACATTACAATAAAACTTCATTCAAATCTTCTATAAAAATATCAGAAAACATCCTGATATCAGTACATCTGTGGATATTCACTTGAAATCCATCTCCGAAATGACCTAAGTGCTCATGCAGACACAGTACCATAACAAGTAAGTAGTATTTTCCACTGAGCATTCTTCTCATTTGCATAGATTCCTGATTTATATCTTTAAGAACAGCAATTATTTTGATGGAGGTGATATGATCATGTGACCAAATATATAAAGTATACTAGGTCTACCAGGTAATTTTATTCAATGGCCCCTTGTCACCCAGCAATTTCTACAAGTGGCCTCCAAAATTTGTAAATTGGACATTCCTGCTCTAGGTGTTAAAATTACAGAAATTATACATGACAGAAATAATATAGGTCGATGTTAATTTGTACATATACTAATACATGTTTAACATTTCATGCTGTATAATTTAACATTAGTTAATGGATTGTGAATGGACACAAATTAACTATTAACAATAGTATATTTATTAATAAATATTCAGATAGATTAACCTAGATTCTGCAAATAAATAAATAAATAGTTGCTCATGTTACTTTGTGACACCAATGCATAAACTAGGGTTAATGAATTGAACCTAATTGCACAATTAAACAATATTTAAAAAGACTTACCAATTGAGGCAAAAGCAAACATTAGTAGGTACATGGTGAATAGTTCAAAAGTGTATGATATACTTGTCAAATTGTAGGATGACAATTCTCTCTTCTCTCTTGGTTATAAAGTCATATTTATTGTGAGTTAGAAACATGCCCAACCTCCCGATTATATATGTATTATATATTTATGCTAGAGAGTCAATACGAATTACAAATAACACCTGGAGACACACATCACAAGAAAGGGATTATAATGCCTTAAATATTATAATGACTTAAAAATGTTGTGTAAATATTAATTTAAAATGTAAAACATAACCCTTAACAGCTAGAGGGAAATATTGCAATGAACAATGGCACATATTTTGCTCCGTTTATTACTGTGGTGAGCCTTCAGCATATACAGTAGTGGCCAAAAGTGATGTCTGGAGGGGATATTTGCACAATATTTGCTATATTCATTTTGGTCATGGCTTCATTGTGTTTTGGTTCAGTCTTTCTGGTTTATCATTTGACCTACTCTGTTTAATTTTCATTCAGTTCTCCTGTTTTCAGTTCTCTTTAATTATTCCATTAGTTCCTGTGTATGTACATATATATATATATATAGCCTTAAGTTCTCCTTAGTTTTTGTCTGGTGTCATCTACGTAATGGTTGTGTTTGCTTGCCTTCTGTGTTTGGATCTGCTTGTGGATATTATTAAAGACAATTTTAATATTTGTTTCATCATACTCGTCTTCCTACAACCTTAGCGTGACTGTTATATTAGCAGGAAGTGTGGTAACCAAACACAGCTTTGGACCCAAAAGCAGAACACAGACTAAAAATGATGCAAATAAAATTAATTTATTGCCAGAAGTCAAGCAACACAATCCATCTCTCATTTGCTGTTGAAGATTGTTGGCTGAGGTGAGCTGGAAACCAAACAGGCCAGAGATATGTTGGTACAGCAGAGTGAGTAGTTTGTTGATCGGGCGTGGCAGGCAGAATGCAGGATGAATGCAGGTGAAGTGAGATCTAAAGCACAGGCAAAACAGAATTAGAACAAAACACATGACACAAAAACTGGTCTAAATACACTGGGAGGCCTTAGCACAGTACCACATAGGCAGACTGAACGATCTGGCAGAAAATGACTGAAGATCCAGGGTTTAAATACTGGAGGCAGATGAATTGATTGGCAGCAGGTGATTCACATTCAACAATCAGCCAAAGAGAGCAGTGCATAGCCATGCCCCGGGATGCACCAACTCACAAACACAGACACACAAAAAGGGAAAACACAGCTGGCCAAAAATCCAAATCCCTGACAGTACCTCCCCTCAATGGGAGCCTCCAGGCTACCTGCCAGGCTTGTTAGGATGGGCTTGATGGAAGTCCCTAATAAGAGAGGGATCCAAGATGAAGGAGTGGGGCACCCAAGTCCGCTCCTCAGGTCCATATCCCTCCCAATCCACCAGGTATTGCATAATTCGTCCCCGACGATGGACATCCAACAATCGTCTCACTGTGTAAACAGGATTATCATCCACAACTCGGGCAGGAGGAAGGGGATTGGTCAGAGGGCAAAGTGGACTGACTTGAACTGGTTTTAACTGAGAGACATGAAATGAGAGATTCATTCTCATGGCTCTAGGCAGTTTGAGTCTGACAACAGAGGGGTTGATGACTCTTACAATTTCAAAAGGGCCAAGGCAGCGAGGAGAGAGTTTCTTAGCATCTGTCTTTAAAGGAATGTCTTTAGAAGAAAGCCAAACTTTCTGACCTGGTTGATAAATGGGTGCAGGGATTCAACGACGGTCAGCAAGGTGGCGATTACGATTAGCTGAATGGAGCAGGGCAGACCGGGCTTCCCTCCAGATCTTACGACAGCGACGGATGTGGACTTGAACTGATGGAACAGCAATGTCATTCTCCTGTACTGGAAACAAAGAAGGCAAATATCCCAAAGAACACTCAAATGGAGACATACCAGTAGCTGAGCTGGACAGGGAATTGTGAGCATATTCAATCCAAGTGAGGTCAGTACTCCAAGACGAAGGATTATTTATAGCCACACACCGTAATGCTGCTTCCAACTCCTGGTTAGCCTGCTCTGCTTGCCCATTAGACTGAGAATGAAAGCCAGAAGACAAACTTACAGTAGCACCAAGCACATGGCAAAAGGCTTTCCAAACCGGAGATGTAAATTGGGGCCCACGGTCTGAGACAATATCTAGAGGGATGCCATGAAGCCGGAAATCATGCTGGACAAGGAGGTCAGCGGTCTCATGAGCTGTGGGCAATTTAGGGAGAGCCACAAAATGCACTGCTTTAGAGAAACAGTCCACAATAGTAAGGATAGTGTTGTTGCCTTGTGAGGTAGGCAGTCCAGTAATAAAATCAAGAGCAATGTGTGACCAGGGGCGGCTGGGAATAGGTAAAAGACGAAGCAAACCAGCCGGGGGCAGATGTGAAGTTTTCCCACATGCACACACAGAGCAGCCATTGACAAATTCTCGAGTGTCCTTGTCCATAGTGCCCCACCAGAAATGTCGTTTAAGGAGGTAAAGAGTGCGACTAGAACCAGGGTGGCAGGCATACCGGGATGCATGTGCCCACTGGAGGACTTGGGAACGAACAGCATTGGGGAAAAACAAACGTCCAGGAGGCCCATTGCCTGGATCGGGTTGGGTGCGTTGAACCTCCCGAATCACTGACTCAATTTCCCAAGTGATGGCGCCAACCACACAGGAAGGAGGGAGAATGGTTTCAGGGCTTGCTGGGTCCTCTTCTGGAGTAAACAGTTGTGAAAGTGCATCTGGTTTAACATTCTCTGTGCCAGGGCAGTAAGTAAGGGTAAAATTGAAGCGACTAAAAAATAGGGCCCAACGTGCTTGTCTAGAATTTAGACGCTTAGCAGTTTGTATGTAGGCTAGGTTTTTATGGTCAGTCCATACCAAAAATTGTTGTTCACTTCCTTCAAGCCAATGTCTCCAGTGTTCCAAGGCTAACTTCACTGCCAATAATTCCCGGTTCCCCACATCATAGTTACGTTCAGCAGTGCTCAAGTGACAAGAAAAAAAGGCACAAGGATAAAGCTTCTGATCAGTATCAGAACGCTGGAACAGAATAGCTCCTACACCAGAGTCAGAGGCATCCACTTCCACGATGAACTGCCGAGATGGATCTGGCTGAATAAGCACAGGAACTGAGATGAACAGTTATTTCGCCTCCTGTGTCCACATAAAAGGGGTGGAGGAAGAGAGTCTGGTGAGAGGAGCTGCCACATGGCTATAATCCCTAATAAAACGGCGAAAAAAAAAGTGGCAAAGCCCAAAAATCATTACAGCTGTTTAAGGGTGGTAGGTTTTGGCCATTCTGTGACTGCCCGGTTCTTCTCTGGATCCTTCTTCACCTGCCCGCCCTCAATTACGTATCCCAAGAAGTTTACAGAACTGACATAAAATTCACACTTCTCTGCTTTTACAAACAGTTTGTTTTCGAGAAGCCTTTGCAGAACTAGACGAACATGGTGGATATGTTCAGAGATGGTTTGGGAGAAAAGTAGAATGTAATCCAGATATATCAAATATGAAGTGGTTGAGAAAGTCCCTGAGGACATCGACCAAAGCTTGGAACACTGCTGAAGCATTTGTAAGTCCAAATGGCATCACCAGATATTCAAAATGTCCAAGGGGCGTGTTAAAAACGGTCTTACATTCATCCCCTTCTTTTATTCTGACCAGATGGTAAGCATTATGCAAGTCCAGCTTAGTGAAAACTGTGGCTCCATGAAGGAGATCAAATGCTGAGTTGATGAAAGGGAAGGCAGAGGAGTTCCAGAAAACAGATCTATTGAGCAGTCATATGGACGGTGGGGTGGCAAGGTCAGGGCCTGATCCTTACTAAAGACAGCACCAAGGTCATGGTATTCAGACGGAGACAGATCAGGAGGTTCTGGGATGGAAACAGCTACAGCATCCTCAGCTGGTGGAAGGGCAGACTGCAGACAGGAAGAATGGCTGGGTAAACTTCAATTCATCACCTTTCCTGAAGACCAGTCAATATGTGGATTATGAAGTCTCAACCATGTGTGTCCTAAAACCAGAGGAGAAGTGGAGAGGAAATAATGTTCAGTTGAATGTACTCATGATGATTACCAGAGAGAACCAGAAGTAGAGGAACAGTATGATGAGTGATCTGTGCCAGGAATTTACCATCTAATGCGTTAACTGAAATGGGTGAATCCAATGGCACTGTGTGAATTCCAGCCTGGGAAGCCAACTGTTCATCAAGGAAACTGCTGGCCAAAAATCCAAATCTCTGACAAGAAGAGCACTACATTTGGTTAAGTTATATAACTGATAAAATAATTTGGCAAAATTATTTTGTCTTTTTTTTTTTATTAGACCAGGCATTCCCCTCATTCTCCTGGGCATTACTCAATAATCTTTGCACATGTGTCATGCATAATTTGTTACTAGGGATGAGCGGTGTTATTGAAACATCATTGGCCGATAAAGGCTACTAGTGCTGTCAAACGATTAATCGTGTTTAGATAATATATGCTTGTGTACTGTGTATATTATATTTATTATATACTTTTTGCAAACTTTTACCTGAATGGTAATTAGATTAGAATAAAAAAACAATACAACATCAACATATAAACCTCTGTAATTCTCATAAAGAATGTCTATAAACAGCTGACAGCGATCAAGTCAATCTGGTTATTAATAAGTGAAGCTGGTAATGCTGTTTGTGGAGTTGTTTAATCAGATCTTGAGAGATTTAATGTCTTCTTTTATTCCAGTTGATTTCATCTAAAGCTGTGGCTGGAAGTCGGTTGTATTTATTGTGTTTCTGCTCGTCTCATTTTGCCATGCATTTCACAGTTGTTGTTGTTTTTCCCACAACCAGTGTAATTCTGGTTGTGAACAGTAGGTGTCATCACAAATGGTAAATCATCACTTGATTAATCATTTAATTATCTCATTAACTCCAGCACTGCTTAACAGTAATAAACTGTAAATTAAGTTGATGACAAGCGACCAGCGAAACTCTCAAAAGCTTTACACTTAACAGTCAGATTTAATAAATGAA